TAGTTTTTAGTCAGCTTAGTCTGTTGCTGCAGTTATACACTGAAACTGAAAGTGTGGAGCACTGAGGAACAGCACACAACTTCAAGCTTGTTTTACATTGTTATGAGAATTGGATCATCACAGTCTGTAATTAAGCATGGCACATAACTTCAAGTTCAGCAGACGACTGAGACTACAAACAGTGAAGTCTATTCAATAAATGCTGTTCCAAGCAAACACGTCTTAAATGTCCGGTGTACTTTGCAACACCGGTGTTGTCAAGAGTTTATTACCAGGTGGGGAAATTTCTACCCCTGGCATCCTTACTTGGCTACCGAAAAAAACTCACCTTACACACTGACACAATTATAAGGATTCTACAGTAATTAGCGAGATGTCTTTTTATGTTAAATGGTCCCTTGTTCAAGTTTCTGTCAAGCAGCCAACCGCGTTAAATCATTATCAATCATGACAATCTCTCCCCAGAATCTTGTTCTGTAGCTGATCCTGTCAACTTTTGTTCCATAAGGGAGAACTGAGTTTACCTCCAGAGGTTTAAAGAGTTTAAAATATATATATATAACTAACATTAAGTGTATTAAATGTGTGTTTATTTATCCAATGTCCTCATTCAGAGTGAACAATGACGAGAACAAATAATCATTTTCAACCCGTTCAATACAGAATAAGACAGTTCTGCTGCAAACATGGAAGAGTTGTGCTGTGTATTGGTTGCATGTGGTTTGCCTCTGAACACGATGTGTATATATTACACTCTCCAAGTCGGTCTGAGAGCAAGTGGAACTTGCAGTGGCTATCGACCAGCAGGGAAATGTGAAAAAGAAAACGGTTCGCATGTTTAATCTGATCTGACTGTGTCGTTTCATTTCCCTCTAGATTTATGGGAAAACCATCGACGGGCATCAAACCATCATCGTGTGTATCGAGTGCCATCAGTTTCAACCCAAAAACTTCTGGTATGTGTCTGTCGATGACATAATGGATCTTCTGGACATTTTGCACCACTGGCGATATGAAACGTCTCATATGTATTTTTTCTTAGAGGAGACATTGGACACAGAAGCAGAACACTGTTTGATTCAGGATGGAGCACAGATCAGGCTACACTGTCATTTCTACTTAACAGCTAGACTTTCCTTTTTTTCTCTGTAAAACCAACAGAGCGTGTAGAATTCCCAGGAGTGGATTTTAAATCAAACTTTAAAAAACAATGTTGAAACGATCAAAAGATTAAAAAGCCTCCAATGTTATTTGATACGTACAAGAAGCTTTAAAGTCATCACTTTAATTGGCACTTAACTCTGAAGTAGTAGACTGTTGGGCCTCATAACTGTTGCTGAGCTCTTTTTGATCGGGTTTATCTAATTGGATAAGAACTGCACCAATCCTCTTTGCTGCTGGGTTTTACTGGGCTTATGGGTAGTTGGATGTCATAATCCCTCAACTTCTATATGCAGCTGGTAGCTTTGTTTGCCATGTTTCAGTAAGGAGGAACCTTACTATCTATATGTGCATATTCTATCATACATTTCCTCTTAATTTTTTGATTCTAAATCATATTGTGTGCATACTTAATTTTATGTGATTAATTTACAAACAACACTTTATTCCTTTAAATGAGCAGTTCTCAACTTCTCAACATGCTCCTTGTGTAATTAAAGAACATAAGGAATATTCTCTAAGTCAGAAATGCTGGACTGCTTTTATTTTGAAACGGGTAGGCTACAGAAGTGTCGTAAATATTTATGTTTAAAATATGTGACAGATAAAACTGATCATTTTGGTCCCTGTAATCATTACACAACCTTTTCATCTCTACACTTAGCTGCAGAATAATGTGTCCGGCCACTGACATATCCGGACTAATAAACAAGTTGTATAAATCTTGTTTTTAATTTTTCTCTTTGCACAGGAATGGACGCTGGAGGTCAGAATGGAAATTTACCATCTCCCCCTCCACCACTCAAGTGGCAGGAATCATGAAAATCCAGGTATGTATCTTAAATATTTCACCGTGTGAAAAGAAAGACAAGTTTGTTGTAGTCTGGAATTATATTTACTGTGTGTGCTTATTTGTGTTCAAACTTGAATTCTTCCTTGCTCCTTTTCTACCATTTATACCAAGTAGAGATAATGAATTATATTAAGGTTCCAAATGAACTGAATCTAAACTTTTGTCTTGACAGGTTCATTACTATGAAGATGGAAATGTTCAGCTGGTGAGCCACAAAGAGGTGCAGGAGTCCATGTCGATTTCTGTGAGTATAGTTTTAGCTCTGTTTATTCGCACACTGACTGACAGGGAGATTCATTGTGTTGTCACCAGAGCTTAAACCACAGAGACCTGTACTTCAGCTACAAGCTACATCAGTCAGCAAACTCCTCTCAAGCTGTTCCAGTTACCTCAGTGATGACATCTCATAAACTGAACACATAACTCTCACTATTCCACCTTTTTACTATTTCATTGTAGTTAACTTCACTATGAATTTGGTTTTAACTCCTGAAAACACAGTTTTGACGTGTTGACAATTGCCCGGGGATGTTTTTGCCTAATTGTGCGGAGGTGTTAATTTGTATTCTCTGCAGTTTGGAGTGCACCCTCTCCCTGTTGTTTGTTTATCATACCTTCTTTCTCTTCACTGCCTTTGAAATAACTGATGTGTGTCTTCTTTGTCACCTCAGAATGAGGCTTCAACTGCAAAGGAGTTTGTTAAGATCATGGAAGCTGCAGAGAATGACTATCAGGTGTGTAATGTTAAATTGATATTCTATGTTCAATATAAATGCTTTCAGACATACACTGAACTCTGGCTAATCTCCTGAAATTACCGAGCGAGTGGGAGTGTTGATGACGTTTCTAACATGTTTAAAACCTTCGCATCTGAAACTTTGAGTCAGTGTGTAAATCACACACTCGCTTGTCTTGAGACAAACAGCCTCATCCTACATGCTCAGCCTCTGGCAGCAAAAACGTTTCCTCAACTTATTACACAACCCCAGACTTTTCAAAATGTGGACATTTTGGTATGTATGTATATGAATTCTAAATTTATTCTCATCTCCTTCCATCTCTCCATCTCTCTTGTTGATTCCAGACGGCCATCAATGAGAATTACCAGACCATGTCGGACACTACCTTCAAAGCCTTACGCCGCCAGCTTCCTGTGACACGCACCAAGATCGACTGGAACAAGATCCTGAGCTACAAGATTGGCAAGGAGATGCAGAACGCTTAATAACAGCAGAGAAGATATACAGACAGCTCACCCCACCCCCTCCCAAACAAAGTTGCATGACTGGATAGTTGTATCGTCTTTGTACAAAAAATTAGATAAACAGGGAAAAAGAAAGGTTTGGTCTCATCGTCAGATGTCACCTTACACATTGGATGTCTACTTATATTCTTGGTATTTTGTTTTTATACAGACACTGTAAACCCCACTGTATATTGACTCTATGATAATCAAATTTGGGAATATATAAGTTGAGGAAATATGATGAGACATAGGAAATGGGACGGACACTTGTATGCAAAAGCACCCATATCAAATACAATATCACATGTGCAATATTTATTGTGTCAGTGAGACCATACCTTTTATTTGACCCACTAATAAACTGATTCAATTTGCGGTGATGGTGAAACAAATGATTTTTGGGAGAAATTTGTCTGCATTAATTTTAGAGCTCCGATATTATGGCTGAAAGAAATGACTTCCTTCACGGTTAATGTCCTATATGGTGAACAACCCCCCCCCCCCTTTAAAAAAAGAAATGTTCTTGGTGTTCATTGACTGGTATGATTGGCACAAACAGTCACCTCTGGTGGCCACTCAGTGTTCTTGTTCCTGGTACTTCCATCACTGTTTCTCCTGTATGTGAGATCTCACGCTCGCAGCTCTCCTGGCTAAATTGCCTTTTTAACTCGACATCCTGTGAACCATCCCTCAGTGCAAGGAGTTCTGTGACCACTTAACAAGCTTAATTAACAAAAGTCATCAAACGCAAAGTAATGTGCATAATGTCCAATTTACAATAAAAACAAAAAGTATCACTTTCTCCTTCAGTGCTTATTTTTATTAAAAAAACAGAACCTGTCTGTATTATATAACAAGACACATTGTAATATATACCTGTATGAAACATCCTGTCTGTCAGTTTGGTGATTTATTTCCATGAGAGTAATTGTAATTCAGTCACAACTATGTTGGATTAAATGACAAATTTTCTATTTACTGACTCATTCATAATTTTTAATTTCTCTCATTGTTATTATAGAAATAAAAAAATGAAAAACCAAACTCAAGCTGCAATATTAAAAAAAGACTGCCCTCACCAAAACTGGAAAGTGAGACTTCCTTTGTGCCGTTTTATGTATTTGTCCATTGATTAAATTAAATGTAAGTTGGCACTGACACCTGTGAGGACAGAACGGCAGATATTGAGTTTAAATCAAAGACAAAGTAACTGAAGGGATTTGAAGTGCATCTTAATGGCCTTAATTTAATATGTGATATGATGAAAATCTAAAGAATTTGTAGAAAAAAATAATACCAGTGTTTTATATCTGTCTTCATGATGGCAAAAAATCTTGATAGTTTTGGCATGGTGTGTCAGGGCATGAAAAAAGAATAGAAGTTAACGACCTTTCATCATTTCTATAGTTTAATGTACATGTGTACATTATGTGCAATGTATCTTTGTGACATTTCCACACAATATAATTGGTAACAAGTGCAGAGGTGTTATAGTTTGACTGGTATTATTTCTTAATATACAATACAACTTTGTTCATCCTGATGGCACTTAATAGAATACCAAAAACAAGATACAACAATACAACTAATACAATAACACAATGAGAGGGCTGTACAGTTGAGTTGATTTATTTAAAAATATCAAAGATCATATTAAATAAATTAAGTAATTAAATAGTTCACACTGTAGATATGCATCTAGACAAGGGTTGGACAGTGTATGCATGTTTTTATACTTTAAAAACAATGTCTTAAAACTCAAAATTGTATTAAAGTACTTTTATTACAGTAAACAGTGGCACATACATATAGCCAGAGGCTATATAAATCAAATATAATATATCTGTTGACTGGACATAGATAAGAAACGAGTAAGCAAACCAAACACACACAAACAAATGTATTATAAGAAATCTTACAATAGAAGCCACCTTGAGGCGCAGGTAAATCACTGACAGCGCCCTCGTGAGGCGGGCGGAGCTAAGTGTCCAGGTTAGCGAGCCGGTGGCTAACGTTAGCAGACAGACACGTCCACACTCAGTCCTGCTGCTGGATGCTGGACACATGTCGAGCTGCCGCTGGGAGAAATGCTAGCTAGGAGCCAGCCTTCAACCTGCCTCCGCACGCACACTACCTGAGGTGAGCGCCCACACACCCGCGTCGCCTCCACGGCGTTAACCCACGCCGCCGGCGCCTCCACTTTGTTTCTCTCCTTGAAAACTTTGAACGCTCACCAAACGCTAGCTCGCGTTAGCACGCAGCTAGCGGGACGAGTGGCTAACTCTTAGCCAAGTTTAAATGGATACGCTGGGAGACGCGTGTGACGCTGTTGCGCGCACACCGCAGCATCAGTGGGATTTCCAGCGAACGTGTGACGAGCTTCTCCTCTCCCAGCACCGCCACGGGTCACCGGAGCGCCGCATAGTTCTCAGTGCTCCCTCGTCTGCTGCTGCGCGGCTTCACCGTGTCAGTGGAGTGCCGGTGTTGTTATCATCCATCTCCCCTCACTCGGGGAACCCTTCTGTTATGGCTGCACCGTGAGCGCACACATAGCACACATAGCACACTCCCTGAGTTTGGTGCGAGGTTGGGCACTGCTTGTTTTTGCAGTGTGGACCTGCAGTGATTGCTCTGCTGGGCTCTGAGCGGTCCCGTTGGCAGTGTGTGTGTGTCTGTGTGTGTGTCTGTGTGTGTGTGTGTGTGTGTGTGTGTGTGTGTGTGTGTGTCCCTGCTCTCCTGTGACCGTGTGCTGAGCTGCAGATGGAAGAATGTGCTCTTTCAGCAAAGCCAGCTGGCTGCAACCAGAGACGTCAGGAGAGAGCCTGTGGGCGCGCAGAGGCCGACTGAGGAGTCTCAATGGTACTGTGCACGCATGTGCAGGGACTGAGGAGCCCTCAGCAGGAGCTCGGGCGTCTGAGGGCTGTGTGGTGTGGCATCCCTGTTGCCGCTGCTGACTCTCATCCCGTCACTTCTTGCTCAGAAAAGTGTTCAGTGTGTAGTCAGCTGCTGCCCGGTGAGTGGAGTCTGGAAGACACCTGACATCCTGCACGAGTCTGCAAAACACACAATTTGGATCATGTCCGAGAATCTCTATACCCTGAGTAAATGTTATTCAGCTACGATCGCACCCCCTCTCCATGTTCTGCCTACTGTATATCATTTCTGGTAATAGACAGTTTTACAAACAGGAAAAACACAGCACTTCTGAACTATACAACCCCTTGGACAGCTATCACCCCTCTGAGGTTTTATGTAACACCGGCAGGGTTATGGATGGCAATGTAATCACTTTTACTACCTTTCAAATTCAAGCCCTTTCACTGTGCTTGTGGCATCCTGTAACATAGTCTTAATTCCACTGCACACACAACCAGGCAGCATTCGAGATTACTTCCTGCTTAGCACCAAAATTACAAAGATAACAGATATATGTGGCAATAACACACACTTCATCTATTGTAATAATATTGACTAGAGGTCTAAAAGAAACCTTTCAAATACATAAATGTAAGAGATTTTTATTTATGTCTTTTACACTATGTACAATTTTGGCACATGTTTATAGTCAAATTAACATTTGTATTGTTGCTGCAGTCAAATTTTGCACCACTGAACTGTGTGAAGTGTGAGTAGGAAGTTGATATGGACTTATATGCATTCTGTATTTCACCAAGGCTGTTAATAGTTTCAGCATGATCACATTTAAAAAATGACACCCAGGCCATTGCTCTCTGCTGCCAGTGTTATTTTTGCAGGGAACTTTATACCGTGATGTTGGATTGTACAGACAAACCACACACCTATTGTTATTGAGCCTAAACTGAGAGTAATGTGTTACATTGATAACGTACTTTCACTTCCTCTTCCTCATTAACGTCAGTATATAGAACTGATGTATTTTCCCAGTTCCCCTTTCCCCCCATTTACACATCAAAACTACCAGGAGGTTGTTACAACAGCCACTTTCTCTCAGCTCCTCTCGTTTGAATTCAGTTAGCGGTTTGTTGCATTTCCCAGAATGACTTTTGGCATCCTCCAGAGAACTTGCTTGGTGATGTTGTGTCCCCCATAGGTGGCAAAAGCAGTAGCTATAATAATACTAGGAGAGAGACAGATCCCCATGGGGAATAAAACAAGACTTGCGTTAAGGGATTGATACGGAAATCCAACATTGAACCTATGGCAACATTTTTAAAGATCTATCTCTCTCTGTTGGAGACAGTGTGTGAAGAATTTTCCTTGGAAATGATAAATGGCACTGCACCTTTATATTGTGTATCACTAGTATTACTCAAAAATAATAAATGTATGTCCTCATCAGGTTTTAGAATGCAGTTTACAAGATATATTAGTACAGTTGGGCTGAGGGGTGATACCAAAGACAGGCTACCAGTATGTCGCCAACATACAGAGACAAATAACCATTCACACCTACAGACAATTTAGGAGAAAGCTGGAGTACCTGGAGGAAATCCACGCATACACAGGGAGAATACAGAAATATCCCAGCTGAGTCGGGATTCAAACTGGGAATCCTCTTGCTGTGAGTTGACAGTGCCACTCACCACACTACCCTGCCGCTCTCGTCCAATCCCACATGTTAGCGATAGATTTTTGATTAAAATCTAACTTATTGCGCAACTTCATTTTATTCATCAAACATTTTTGGTCATCTTTCCGTTACATAACAGGGGTTTCTGATGTTGCTTTTGTTTTCCTATCATTAAGTCAGCAGTGGGGCATCTTGAGCCAATAACACATTTTGCATATTTTTATGAGCTTTAAGACCCTTTACCAAACGATAGACTGCATTAAAGGCAATGAGCTAAAAAAAAAACAACTTTAAAGACCACTCTGATTAGGGCAACTTTTCCAAAAACATCTTTCATTCTGAGGAGTTTTTTAAATTTTCAGTGGACTTGCAGCACTGCTCAAATGGAGGAATATATATATATATATATATAATATATATACCAGAATTTAAATCTCCTTTCAGTCACTTGAAGATCACATTCAATTCGCAAGTTAGAAGTTGAACTAAGCTGAGCTCAAAAGAAGGTAGACCCCATTCCTAACTGTGTAGATTGCTAGACTCAGCAATAAGCTATAATAAGATTGTGGCTCAGTTGCCAGAAATAATTGGTCCTGTACTCTGTAATAGGAATTATAATCTGGTTGTGTAGCCACAAGGCTCAAAACGTCAGACTCTAAAGAGCAACTACTTTGTATTAACAGATCAACTGCTCGTAGCCCCCAGTGACCATTTGAGCAGTGCTGCAATTTAAGAAAGGGCATATGATGTGTCTTAATGTTCTGTGGAGAACGTTGGCATAATGACAATTTGATAACTTGTATCTGGGTTCAGACATACTCTGTAGGGCATCATTCCCAGGCTTCATTTCCCCCAGAGAATGAATTTATGCATCAGACATATAAATGAAATCTCTTTGAAGATTGGCTTTTTTTTTTTTTTTTTTTTTCAGCAGACTTTTTCTATGCAAAACACTGTCAACCTAGGATTTTACAAAGAACAAGGTAATCCCACAGCTCTACAAGCAAAGAATGGTCTCTGAAAAATATATATAAATAAGTCCAGAAAAGTTCAGGACGATTGATTTTACATATGACAGTACAATAGGGTCTAATAGCCTCAGTGTTACAGTTCAGTCCAAAAACAAGCCTTAAAAAGTTTGGGTTTTTAAAAATGTATGAGTATGTAGAAATGCTCTGAGTTAGCTGACTGATGTGACGCACTCAGACTCAGTACACATTTACCACAAGGCCATATCAGACGAGCCAGGAACCCCTATTTAGAACCTGTGCACCGCTTTGGTAACACGATCTCCTCCAGAAATGTTTGCCCTACCTTTTGATGGCCCAGACTGCCCTGTGCTGCTCTGCCTGGAAAAAAAAGTTCTGGTTTTTTCGTCCATTCACTGAGCTGTACCCACTTAGATCATCCACATCAGAAAGCCTGAATCACCATGACTTCTGCACCATGAAGTACCCAAAGTGGTAATTCAAGGCAACACTCCAAAGCTTGCCATGTAATATCTGACCCACCATGATGGCCAGGGCTCTAGCCAAGCGAGGTAAAGGTCACTTCTGCTGCGTAGGCACCCTGGCTCTTCAAAATGTCAAAGACGCTGTTACTGAAGTACAGTAATGAGGTGAACCAGATAACTGCCATTATGGATTCCGCTCATAAAATTTATAGCATTCATGAGCAATGAGAAGTAGATGAGGAGAAGCTGAGATATGGGTGGTTCAGCCTAGAGCTTAGTAAGAGGAAGATTTAGAATGTTTTGTACCATTAGTATCATCCTAATGTGTTCAAATGTCCTGTCAAATACACCGGCTCATCAACTGTAGCCTCGATGCAGTCAACAAATCTTTTCAAATGTTTCTGTGCAGTGGTCTTAGCAGCAGTGCAAGAAACTAACCTCTTTCTCACTCCATTTATCGTGGTATGATAAAACATTCCCAGTGTTTTAAATGTTTCTGAGGAGGTCAGACTTCCAGAAGCTTACTACCTAAATGGTCACCAGAGTTCATTTTATACTCTGCATTTATAGGAATATTCGTTGTTGTGGTAATTTTGTACCATTTATATTTTTCTCTGGAACATTTGTCAAAAGAGCCAATGCTCAGATATTCTGTACATAATGAGGAATCTTAACCTGTGTAGTTCATCATAACAGAACACTGACCTCACATGCTGACCTCATGAACTAAATGGGTCATAAATTCTGTTTAATGGTGGATTATATGCCAAAGAGATGAGTTCATCAGAAAAGGTTAACGGCCACAGACGGGTTCTCCGCCCTCTGTTCCTCATCCAGCCTTCCTGTTTTGCATACAGAGACTGTTTGATGAATGACATGCCCATTCGCCTGTATTTACATGTGTTTGAGATACTCCAGATTTGACTGCCTGCACATATTTGAATCTATGCAAACTGTATGATAAAGTTAACAATAATCTGTGTTATTGCATACAGTCTGTCAGAAGCATGAGGCAGCTATGGTCTGCATTATTAATTGGGGATTGCTTGAAGTTTTAATCTCTGTTTTGTAGCTGCTGGTTTTACCTTTTTACTGCTCTTGGAACTACAGTGCTTCAGCCCTCAAACTAGGACC